ATGAACAACGACGATGGTGGTGGCGGTAGCGGTACCGACGACAACAACAACGATATAGACGGAGGAGAAGGAAAAGAAGAAGAAGAAGAAGAACAAAAAGAAGAAGAGAGAAATCTGGAGAGAGAAGAGAAAGAAGAAAGAAGAAAGTAATATGAAAAAGATAAAAAGAGGGGAAATTTAAATTTTGAAATTGAAAATTTAGGAGAGAATTTTTTTTAAAGTTATCAAATTTCTAATTTACACCCAAAATTTTTTAATCACTCTAATTATATCTATTTTTTAATTAATGACAGACCAAATCAATGTCACCATTTTTAATTTCAAGACATATTTGTTACCTTCCACTCAATTTTCTCCATATCATGTAGATAAGGATATAAGGAACTAAAATCCGAGAGAATTTTCCTCCATTTTTGTTTCATTTATGAAAGGAGAACTTCCCTCGGAGCCGTTTTGCGCGTTGTACAGTGAATCCACTCCTTTTCCTCCTAGACCCAACAAAGGAAAGAGAAAAAGAGGAAAGAGGGGTAAAGGGAGAAAAGGAAAAGAGAAAGGAGAAATGCGAAAGAAGCTTCTAGAATTTGGTTGTTAACTTCTTTGTTGACATAGTTCTATCAAAATGAACATTCTCAGTTTTCCTAACACACATGTCAAAGGGGAAAATATAGATAGTGCACATAAACCATTGAACTTCTAAAAACAAAAAACTTAATCCATATTTACTTGGGCACCATGATTTGCTTCACATGAATTTAGACATAAATTTGTCAAAATAACAGAAATTTTTTACCTTGTTGGTACAGTGAGATATACAAGCAGTACCTTCGGATCCATGCAAATCACAAAAGGAAAGACACGCGAGCACTAAGAAAAGAAGCTTTAAAAGCAAAAGGAGCAAGGTTATCCACATATCAACAGCTATATTCTTCGTAGCAACATGTTTGATGCCGATGATATGCACAAGAATTTGAAGAACTCTGAAGCACAGTATTTTTACACCTAATAAGAGTATATCCTGCGAAAAGTTAGCCACCAGAACTCAACCATGACCTGCTAGGAGCATATCAGATTGCATATGTCCTGAAACCTTGCCTCTGAAATGTTGGTGAAAGGAAAAACCCTGAATCTACCAGTATTTGGACAGCTCAAAGTCAGATATTCCAAGTTGACCATCTTCTGCAATATGCAATACAAGAATTCATCGTCACTTATAAGTGTCTTCTTCTAAGATGCTAGTTAAATTGCAAAAGATTAAAAAGTGCATCCAAATTTGAGCTTGATTTGTGGTGGCAGAAGTAATAACAACAATGAGAGCAGGAAGAAGAGGACTATGACTGCTAGGAAAGACGAATTTCCTACTAGGCGGTTAAAAAATAACCATCGCGAAGAGTAAGCAAACGATGCCAATAACAAGATGTTCTAATCAAGGAACACTAAAATAAAACTGAAATGAAAGATAAAAGGTGGTCCGAGGGTTACTCAAAACTCATTTTGTTCAGGCAAAATATCAGCCTTACAAATGACCCTATTCAAAGCATCACCAACGTTAGACCAATAATCAATGCTATTCGTAGTGGAGATGGTGGGAGTGGTCTCAAAAAGTGAAGAATCAGTAATCTTTTCTTAGTTAATACAACCACCATTATATCCACAGTACTATGCTCAAGATGTATGTGACGTTATAATTGCTTGAAACAACAGTTATATCAAAGATGATATGAAAGAATATACGTACAGTGAAGATTATTTTTCTTGTCCTAACGGAATATCCCCTTTGAACCAGCAAAAATGTTTTACACCAGTTGATCTGTTTCTCCTTTCAGTCCAACGATCACATGTTACTTAATTTCATGTTTACTTTTGTACATCCTATTTCTTCTCTGACAAAAATTACAAAATTACTTTTCCCTTCTCATAATAGGATCAGGTATAACCAGATACCTCACAATGAAATGCCTTGTCAGTGCAGCTCCACCATTTGGATGGAATGCAATCAAAGTAGTGACACCAGCTACAGTACTTGTTTATGTTAATGTCATGCAGAACTGCTATTAGAATTCCTGCAAGCCTGCATTTGGAGTGACAAGAAATCAAGTAATTATCTTAGACATTTATAACTAGTCTAAGTAATAGTTCATGGTGAAATTGGATGCAACGAAAAATGGAGCAAGAGCAAAACCATAAAAGCATCCTACAGAGATGGACTCACAGAAAAGAAAAGATAATAAGAGCAGCACCCCTCTGAACAGGCTTGTCCAAAGTGTTCCTACATTTGACAATGTGCTTGGCATCAAAGTCAAATAAGCCTCCCTTATTTCGAGCTAGTTTCTCTTGTTGAGGCTTGAACAAGAGCACAAACCCCAGAAGGAATCCTGACATAAATCCTCCAATATTAGCAAAATTATTGATGTAGGGTATCAGTCCAAGGACAAGATTAGTCATCAGGATTGTCATGGTAGCCACTAGCCCTGCAAACTGCAATGAAACGTGGGGCGATGACACTCTATACTATATAACAGCTGAGATGAGAGGAAAAACAACTATAAGATTTCAGGACCTTATTGGTATAAGATTTCCAATTACTGATGAGGCCAGAGAGCAGCGTACCAAGCAATCCAACCAATGCACCAGAAGAACAAACTGATGGCCGATCTTGAACGAAAAGTGAAGCAATTAGACTACCAGTAATTGCTGAGAGTATGTAGATAACTCCAATCCTTACTGCAGAAATGGGAGCATCAATCAAAGATCCAATAAACAACTTTCTCAATGAAAGGAGATATATTATAGAATATTCTTACATGGTCCAAATTCTTGCTCCAAGTGAATTCCCACAAAGATTACTGAGGACAAGTTGATGATCAGATGAATAAGCCCTGCATGCAACCATGGGCTTGTGAAGATACGCCACAGTTGATGATTATTAGTCAACAAAGTCTTCCGAAGCGCTCCAATTTCATCCAACCTACATTAAAAAAAGATTTCACATGTGTTACTGGAAGCAGAACTTCCTTAACGTAATATCATGTGCAAGACACAATGCACAGCTCAATAGTTCTTTTGCTGCACAGTTGGAAAAATAACATGTTAGTATTAACCTCAAGAATAAAGTAGGTGCTGCAATTTTCAAGGCAGATAGGAAAGCAGATAATGTTTAACTGGTTTGAGAGGAAACAAGAGATCAATATGTTAGCGAACATGGAGCGTGGATTAATTGATTCTCTAAGGCCTGAAGAACATACCCAGTCAGAACCATAAGGCCCTTTAATAGAATACATAAAGCCCGTTGAAATAGTTGCTTATAAACTTAGATCTCAATAAACATCCTAGCCACAACAATTAATGCAGATATACAAGTATACAAACTCAAATTCAAGCAACAATTCATATTGATAGCAACCTTTCTCCAATAATACATCATCCTCAAATTCCATCAAGTATTCCGAATTTCAAATTCGGAGGTGCAAATACATATTATATCACCGATGATTCATTATCCATTCACATCAGACGAGGCATGGAAACCTTCCATTTGAGATCTATAAAATTTGAAGTTTCCTCTAAACCAGTAAAATCTAAAATAACTCATTAAGCGAATCCGACCTTCACGATTTTCAAGAAAATAAGACAAGAAACAGAATGATTAGTGAAAGAGAAGGAACTGACGCAGAAGCAGAGGGGCCGAGCAGAGGATTCTCCGAGAAGGGCTGAAAAGAGAACCTACGGAGAGGTTTTAGGGCACAATCTCCATGAGAATTATCCCAGCAGTCGTTAACAATCATTGTAGCTGTGAAAGCGCCCAAGTGAAGGATCACAAAGAGAGAAATGATCCAGGTGTTCGCTCTCTTCTGAGACAACGGCCTAAAGAATGGGAATGGGACTCTCTCTTCTTTTAGTAGCTCGTCGGCCGTCAGCTCAGTGGAGAATATCGCCGCCGTTGGACCACATTGTTGCTTGATCTCAATCTGGGTTTGGGATTTCGAAT